TTATATTTTATTTCATTTATAAAACTTTGTACGATCATGGAAACTAATTCGATAAATAATTTTCAACTAATCTACAAATAAAAAATTAATTATATGTATTTTATCAAATAATTTAGAAATTGTGTTCTATATACAGATATATATATATATACGTTAGAATATATAGAATCTTAAGAGTATAAGAATTGTATAAAAATTGTAATTTTTATAATTCAATTTCATATATGTACCTTCTTTGGGCATCATTGAGCCAAAGAGAGAATGCTTTTGTCATATTTTTCAATTTTAGTAATTAAGATTTTTCGAAACAAAGCACAAATGCATTCTTTCAGAAACTAGAAAAAATTAAAAAAAATTAAGATTATATATTATTTTTAGGAAGCGTTTTATAATTACTATTGCGATAGAATACGTTAATCATAATAAGTTTTAATTTAAATTCGATAGTGTAAATATAAATTTATAACGATTATTGTTCATAAAAAAATGACGTTAAAAATCGATTAGAATTTTTATACACACGATTTTATCTTGAAAATATCTATTATGTTAATAAAAATTATGTATGAATCAGTATTATTGTCCTTGTAAAGTTTTACTTTCTCAAGTGATTTGATTGATTGGTTAAGTTTAAAGATTGTTCAATATGAATTTATATATTCATATTGGAAGAAGTATTGAATTTAATAAAATAGAATGTAATATTTAAACATTTAAAAGGACAATTTCACACATATCTTTGAATATGTTATAACTTAGAAATTAATCGTTAAGTAGGATGTAACATTTTTGCGCCTAAAATATTATAAGGAAACGTATTCGTTTAATTTTTTGAATTATAATGTAAGAAAACCTGATAGATTTACGAAATGTTTATTTTTTCTATTTAATAATTAATAATTACGATGACAAACGTTCAATTAAATAAAATATATTATATAAAATTTTATGTAAAATTTTTTCGAACATCATAAACATAAAAAATTTAATATTCAAATTATTTCTAAGTTTTTTTCAAATTAAAAAATCCAATAATTAATATTTAATATAATTATTTAATAAAATATTTAATAAATTTTTTTTGTATTATAAAATAGAGAAAATAAAACCAATAGTATAAAAATATATATATCGTTAAATAAGTAAAGATATTTTTTAAAATACATTTATTCTGCATATAATAAAAAATATAAATTATAATTCTGTTTTTTCTTCTAAATTCTTCTTCATTGTCATAATGTTATGATTAAGATTGTGAGCGGCATAATATATCGGGTTCAAATTGTAATACAATTAGTATACGTCGTGGCGCTTTTGCAAGAGCAGTAAATATGTCTCTACAATCGATTATACATCCTACACCCACTTTAAGAAAAGTTGATCACTCCCCCATAAGCGAAGGCCAACTGCTATCACTTTGGTTTTACAATGGTCCCTAATATCGACGTATTGTTACATTTAGCTAAATATCTAATTTATTTTATCGAAACTAAAACTGAATGAAGAAATCGAATGTAAATTTATTTACATAGGCATATGCGCAATATTGTTCACAATTAAATAAATCGATTTAAGCAAATCGATTTTAATACATATAAACATTTATAGTTAAGCAAAAATTTCTTCGAGGAATCGAACCAAATGTCATTCGAGGTGTGGTCGTTGGTGACATTTCTAACTTAAAGTTATTGTGAATTTGCGCGTTAAGTGTCGTGAAGAAAATTTATGCGCCCTGATGATAATGTTTTAGGAACGTCGATTCATAGTGGTCATTTTAAGGAAAATCGTCCCTTTGTGTACAAGCAACGAATGTGATCTACAAAAACGAATATTTCGCGTTGTCACAGGACCAACGTATTGTAAATGGTGAAACGACGATAAACGCTATTGTGTTCCTGCGGTGTAGAGTATAGTACATGGTTAAGAGAACTTTATCTTAACACCACGGGTATTCAAGTATCACGGGTGTGGTTCTCATGGCCAGACGCACTCAGATACGACGATATTTTGTTCGAATAATGGCTTAACCCTTTCTGCATCGAGAATCTGACGTTTATTTTCAGTAACAATTGCATTTGTTTGTATCTGTTCGCTTATTTTTATTTTCAATTTATTTATTTGGCAAATATCGTTATTCTAATTTTAAATTTGTTGTTTTCAGATCGTTTGGGATATGTAAAATTTGGGGAAAAATTATATATTAAAATTGTATGGAAATTATTGTCTAATTTATTTCAATGGAAAATATATTAAAGGAAATATAAAACAATTTTTAATTTTTATTATACTAATATAACAAATATTTATTTAATGACTGAAAGAAAGGTAACAAAGAATCAAATGAATTTTACTTAATAAACTTTTCAAAGATTTTACAATTATCGTATTTTCAATCGATATATTTTTAAATATTTTTAATTAAAAATTTACATTGGAAAACATTACATACACAAACGGTTACTTAGCCAGTGTTTAAAATTAAAGCGAAGAGAAAGGCTACGTTCACCTTTTCTCTGATATTGATAATATTTGCATTCCGATCAGTAATCAAATTTTATGTTCAATCTCGCATGTGAGCCGTCTTTTAAAATCACATATATATCACGATCATTCTAAAAATTTATCTTACGATAAGTTGATTTTTATATTCTCATTATCCAAGAACGAGACATCGGTAGGATGTGGTACTGAACGATAATCGAACATCATACTTTCTGAACATGAATGTTTGATATCTGTAGCAAAAGAGAAGTACAAATCTCTTGCATCAGAATTGTTAATTCATTATGATCGATGGTCGGAATGATACTTGAAGTATGTGGGCGTTGGTCCTTGTCACCTTCGAATTCCAGTCTCAAATAAACCGAAAAAAGTAAACCATTTACTGTGAACAAAATAAAAAAACAACAGGAAGAATTGATTAATCATATGAAATGTTCTTTCAGAGTTTCGCTTTATCGTATATTAAATTTCTTATAGATCTTGAGCATTACATATATTTAAAATATATTTGAAATAAAAATATTGCAACAATCGAAATAATGACGTTTCATAATATGCATAAATTTGATATTTATTTCAGTATATCGTCGAATAGAAGTTTTGAATTGACTATATCTTAATGATAAGGATCAATTGTTATTCTATGGAGGAGTTAAACAGATCCTTATGCATTCATTCAAATCAATCTCAAAGGATGACAAAAGATCCTATAGATGTTGAATAATAATTTATCACTACCGTTACGCGTGCATAACCATGCGTGAATCACGGAATTGTCGTGCAAGTGTAACCAAGAAATTACGAAATCTAGCTTTGTGCCACGTATATCCCTTCTTTTTATTCTCTTTTAATGAGGGTTTTGTTCCGGCTGCATTTATAATGTTTTATAGTTCATTTAATTGTATTAAGAAAAATCCGAGATTTATATTATATTATAAGTTTATACATATTTTTAATTATTTTGTTATTCGAATTAATTATTTTTTAAGGATTAAATTAATCCTTAATCCTGATTCTAATTTTTTTCTTTTGGATTTTAGAGAGAAAAGAAGCTAAGTATTTTGTTAATAAATATAATTCAATCAAAAATATCTATATTCTAAAATTATAAACAAATCAAGACTTATAATGATATGCATTTATATGTATATTGGTAACATTTTTTTTTAATATACTTATGCGTTTCTTTACCTTTCTTAGTCTAGAATTTGTGAAAAAATCTAAACAAAATATAAATCTATTATTTGAAATATTTACATAATTTATCAAATATATATTCACGTCATGTTTGTGTAATTTATGTACCAATTTTGGTAATAAAATTTTACAAGTTCGATATAGGTTATGTAACACCAGTCAAATTAAGAATAATTATATATCCATTTTTAATATTTATTTCAAAAAGATATCAGAAAATATATTTTTTCTAAGCATATCTCACGTATCGAATCGAAAATATATAGAATCGATAACATCATAACTCATTTATGAATTTGTTTGAACGGAAAATTAAAAATTGATCCGTCTTGGGTGGTTTCGTTATGTATTTTGCAGAGAATAAAAGTTATGTAATTCTTTACGTAAAGAGAACGAGATCTTTTAAGATACATCTTTACAAACGAGTTTAACACACTCAGAGATCCGAATTTGTTCTCTTTTATATATATATATATATTTATTACAAAATAATAAAACAAAATTTATATTGACAATATATGATAAAGATAATAAAGTCAAATCATTTTAATCTACATAAATTTAATTACAATTTATGTTTTTCCCATGACATTCATAATTTAATTACGATTCGATATAAGTTACAAAATAATTCATAATTTAAATATTATTTAAATTTCTAGAATTTTACCTGTCACCACGTATCTGCGTTATACATCGGATGGAAAGTGGTCGCAATAATTCTCGATCTTGTTCAGAGGCTTCCTTCTTCCAAGGGTAAGGAAAGGTGTTTGCACGTGTCCCTCGTACTACGTTATATTGCAACCGTTTGCACTCGTTCATTGTTGATTGCACAAGGAACCGAGTATACCTATCACGGGCCTTTGCACAGCAGGCATCTGGTCCGCTTTCAAGCTTTTCTACGGGGTTACACCACTTTGTGTAACGATATACGCGCACTCTTGCCTCCGACCATTTGCTCTTGACGTTTGTCCATCAATTTCTTGTCACACATGACTATCTCTTTCAATATCGACGATAAATATAAATTAATCGATCCTTTGGTGTAAAAAAATTAGGAAGGATTAAAATAATAATTATGTGTTTGTTACGAGAAAAAAAATTACAAAATTAAAATGATAGTTTTATTTTTTATCGTAATAATTTTCATGACAAGTCTAACCTCAATTTCAGGTCAGTCGGATAAATTATTTTACTTAACTGATTACGGGCGATGCTAATTTGTTTTTTTTAATGAACACGAATATTATAATAGAATTATCGATTATCGAACAAATAAAAAAATACACGATTGAAAATAATTTTAATTCGCATTATTATTGCATTAAAGGAAAAATTCAAGATTATTGATATTAATCATTTCGTCTGGTGATAAGAAAAAGATATTATAAAAATTTTCAATGCATTATTATTTTGAATTATACTCAATATTATATTATATTATAATTCTATGTTAGAATTTTCATTAAATCATATATTAAAATGTTACAGTAAACAAAAATTCAAGATTACCAATTATTTAGGTAAGAAAAAAGAGTCAACAAAGGAAAGATTCATATTTTTAATCTGCATTACTATTAAATACTAATTAGATCAGAATGTTGTACTAGAATATCATTGATATTAATTATCATTTTATAGAACGATGAGAAAAAAATTCATTCTTTTAATTGTTTTACAGATTCTGAGAGAATAGTAATGAGTTGATAATTGTAATAATGAAACAGGATTGTAATACGGTATGCGTCAAGTGCATCGAAAACGTCAGAACTAGGAACGTGCATGCCGCGTGAATCGACACACGCCAGTGAACCCGAAGAAAAGACTGACAATGAAAGGGGGTCAGATCTGTGGTACACGCGCAATATGGGATAATTTTGCACTGTTTACTCTTTAATTTCCTATTGTTCGTTTAAATGAGAAATTAAAAACGTATTCGATAAAACGTTCGTGAAAACTCGAATGTTATTTCGCATAATTTCGGGGAGAAGAAATGGAATATTTGTAAATGGATTAATTTAACCAAATATTTCGTGTACGATTAATTATAATTCAATATCATAATCAAGGTTTTCCATTATTTCTGCGACACGTTTTTTAAAATCTTTGCAATCGAAATGTAAGATAAACCACAGGATCGCATTGACACATATGCGGCTTTTCAGTAAAAAACTCGCTTATAGCAAAAATTTCTACGTTGCACAATATCATTGATATAAAGTGATAAGATAAGTTAAATTTAATTTAAATTTAATAATTTAAATTTAATAATACACACACAAATTTCATGTATACACTGTTTTAATTCTAAGATAGATTTGAGATAAGAATAGAATACTTTAAAAAAAAAAAAAAGTTATAAATAGTTGGGTTAAAAAAATTCTGAGCAACCTTTGAAATATTTAATCCAGTTTCATTTCACTAGAGTGAAAAAAATTAATCTCGTAAATAATCTGCATGATTAATATAGTAATGTTTTTTATGTGTTCACAGCTTCCTGCAACAAACATGCCTAAGGCAGATAAAATCCTTGTAGAGTGGGTGGAGCAGAAATTGACAGGAAGTTGTTTAGTCGTCGTCGTCGTTCCAAGTCGATGTTTATCGATCTTTCTTTGATAGCGTGAGTGACGATAAAATTAATTATATTCCTCGAAACAAAAGCGGAATACAACGGTTGCAAAGGTGAGATTTAAAAAGTCTATTTTTAAAATTCATTAATTTCATTTATTCTTGGAGATTATATCTTTGTGATTTTTGTCAATTGTTCTTATTTTATTTCATTTTAGATAATTTGATGCGGATATGGGTTAAGATGTAAGACAATGGAGATATGTTAAATTTTTTTTCACGTCGTATGTCTTTCTTCTGCGTGGAAAATTTTGTTTCAGGTATAAAGAGGGTGAATCATTAAGTTTTACCAGGATTGTGTAATAATCTATTTTTAAAATTCATTAATTTCATTAATTTATTCTTGGAGATCATATCTTTGTGATTTTTGCCAATTGTTCTTATTTTATTTCATTTTAGATAACTTGCGGATATGGGTTAAGGTAAATAAGACAATGAGAATATGTTAAATTTTTTTTTCACATCGTATGTCTTTCTCATACCTGAAAAATTTTTGTTTCAGGTATAAAGTTCGAGATAAAGTGCATATATTCATACAAACAAATCGAATGTGCCAACGCAGAAATTACGATCAAACGGATAATTATACGATTCGTATGAAAACGATTATTGTGACATTTTGCACAGAGTTTGAAAGAAAAAAAGAAAAAAGAAGTAAGCTCATTAAGTTTCGAATTCAAATTTTCATTCCTAAGTAATATTAGCAATTATCATTATCAATCTTCTTTAAACAACTTCTTCAAGCAACTCGACACCATGTATGAACAGCATTGAGACCTGACTAAAGATACATTTCCTTGAACGCATATTCACGTTTAATTCATGTTTCTCAATCCAGCTTGGAAAATTTAACTGATTAGAAATAGCACACAAAGGTTTAATCAATTCCATTAACAATGGAAATGATTGAATTTTTTTTATATTTTGTTAAAATTCTGTACAACTTAAATTTTTTTCTATTGATATTCTAAAAAATTCAAAGAATGGCTTCAATTTCAAAACCTTTGAGAGATTTGAAAGGAAGAATACTACTCTGTTCAAAAAGTTAGCACATCAACAAATTTCCTTTCAAATCAATGGTGTCCTCTTCAAAATGGTCTCCTTGCTGAATACATACTTTTGTTCCATTGCTCAAAGAAATGTTGGAAATCTTCTTGTGAAATTTTTTTCACGGTTTCAATATCCACGCGTCGTCTTTTCATCCATTTTGTAAACGATTGCTGCCTTCAAAACACTCTTTTCACACACTTGTTTCAACGTATCAACCATTAGTTTTAGTTTTCTCGAGTTTGAAGAGAAATTTCGCATTTAATCGTTCTTTGAAATGATCACAAAAAGAAAATGAAAGAAATATTAATACATTAATGGATATTAAAACTTTGGACTTTGCAAAATTTAATCTTCTAAATTCATAGATAAGATCTTCCTTGCAGAAAAAAAAAGAAAGAAGAATTTCAATCATTCGATTAACTTTTTGAACAGAGAATCTAGCGTACGTGGATCATGCAGAAGGTGAACGTAGGTGGGCCTCTTGGAGATTCCGATACAGTTATACTCGTTCCACGTGTAAAGAATGAAAGGTTCCGGAGCGCGATGCATCTAGGGATTCGAGAGGAGAAGGCACACTCTCGTGATAAAAATGTCTTCCTCTCTCGAGCAGAGGAGAGCCGACGATGGGAGGAGAGGATGAGAGATGGTTGTAACGATGCTAAGCACGTGATAGGATTGTGATAATTGCGATACGGTTCCAGTTTGTACGATATGTTTCCATCCATCCATCTTTCTTCTTCTTTTTCTTCTTCTTCTTCTTCTTTTAACTAGATTTCTAGTCGTGGAATCTTTACTCGTGTTGAATGGTGGTAACGAAGCGTGAGATCGAATTGCGAGATGGATGTAAACGAGAGAGGTGAATTGCAGGTTTGGCTGGAAGGAAAGAGGTGATTTGAAACTAGATTACTTTTAAATGGCGTAATGGATGTGATTCGAACGCTTTGTACGAGAGTAATGGAATAATAACAATTGATAATGATGATTCTTAGAGATTTCTTAGAGATTTATAAAATCTTGAACTGATTTTCTTATTCATTGTTTTGTCAAGTCAAGGCGAGTATGAAATTTCGTTCTTTTTCTATTCAGATATTCCTCTTCTTTTTTCTTAATTGAATTCTGAAAATGAGAAAAGTTTGTAGATAATATTTTTAATATTAATTATTAGGTAGATACGATTAAATTCCAATATTTTTATTATTCGTTTTATTATTGTTTGCAAATTTTTAATTGAATGAAAATGGCTGGAGGAGAAGGAAATATTTTAAAATAATTTTCTTTCTTGCTAATCTCAATTAGCAATTTTCAAGAAGAATGGCTCAAGAAGAATTTTTCTTTCAAGCAAAAGAGAAAAATGGGGAATGATTCTTTTTTAATTTGCTTAAAATGACAGGAAGATCAAGAATAAAAAAATATTCAAAAACGATTCTTTCTCAATCTTAATTGCAAAAAAATAATGAGAGAGAAAATTATACAAAAATTATAACGAGAAAATGAAGTAGGTACAATTAAATTCCAATATTTTTATTATTTGATACAAATATAATTTATAGAAATTCGGTTTGATTATTTAGATTAATTCATAGAAAAGAAGAGAACAAACAAAATGATTCGTCTTTTCTAATTCCAACTAATTCACATAAAATACAAGTCAAGGATGAAAAAATACTCCAATCTCGAGTACTTACTCCCCAAAAAATGAGGAGAAACAAAAAAAGACCAGAACAAAACCTCCAATTCTTCTCTCCATCCATCCGAATTCTCAGAGAATAACACGGAGAAGAGAACAAAAAAATCTTCCAAAACGATTCTTCCTTAATCCCTCAATTTAATTCGCACAAAATGTCTTTTTTTTTTTTTTTTAGGAAAAAGCCAAGAATTAAAAAAATGCATTTCGAATCTCGATTACCAATTCACACTGAAAGAAAAAGAAAAAGAGAAAGAAAAGAGAAGAAGCGAATCGTGCGAAACGATGGAAAATGGCGGGAAAACAGCTTTCGAACGATGAAGCGAATGCTCCATTAAACGATCATCAACCGAAGACAAAAAGGTGAAGGAAGGATGAAAAGGTAGGGGGTATCGAGACAGAAGAGAGGGACACGACAAGGAGCGGAAAGCGAGAGAGAAAGCTCGCAGTCGACGCTATTCTTCATGAACGAGGGACACCTCTCTTTATCCCCATTCCGCGACGAGTTGGTTAAAACAGCTTCTCCTTCAGTTGTCGCTCGCCAACCCAGCGTTTCGCGCGGTGTCACGCACGCCTCTCGGCGATTTCGGCGACGAGCCGAGCAACCACGTGTTTCGTTCCCTCTTCTCAGACCGCTTCTGGATTTCTTCCTCCTCCATCTTCCGAGATTCACGCGTAACTTTTCTCGTCGAACATCAAACACAAAACAATCGATAGTAAAGATACGAAAAGTGAAAGCGAACAGATGAGATTTTGTGTTTCGGTGCGTGCCCAGACCGTCGTGTGCTTCCGTTCTGCTCGCCGGCCTCTTTCCGAAATTCCGAAACGGTGAACGGATCGTTGTACCGATATCAGGTATGTCGTTACAGTCGGATACGTTTAAGAAATACGTATTGAGTTGAGTTTCAAGATTTCTCTTTTATTATCTTAAAAAAATTTTTGGGAAGATTGTTTGCAAGGATTGCAGTTATTTGAAAGGAAGGATTGTAAAAGTAATTTATTGAAAATATTCTGACATTTGGAATTCAAGTTGATTAACTTTACTTTATGAACATTTCCTTTTTTGATTCAGCGCCAACAAGAGATGGGCAAGATTTTAATGAAGTTAAGAATAAGAATTGCTGGAATCAATCAGAGTATATTATTTCGTTATTTTTCATTGATTAATCAAAGCATGTAAGTTATAAAGAGTATTATAGCGTGGTAGTTAGTGAATTTCTTACTCAAAGTAACTTTATTCAAAATTAATTTTTCAGTTCATTAGCGTCCAACTCTGATGCCAAGATTAGAATTATAGATATATATATATATATAGAGAGAGAGAGAGAAGAGAGAGAGAGTAGTTCGTAAGGAAAATCTAAGAA